TCGTTTTGCTTATCCCCCGTGAATGTCTATATCCAAAATTTTACAGGAGTAGCATGATTTTTTTCAGTAACCATCTTAAATATATGACTAAGATATATTTATGCTTGACGCTGTATCGGCTGTCATAGTAACTTATAGTTCAATGGAGCAAACCATAACGTCCCAAATTACAAAGAATATTCATGCCACCCCAATCATGCTACTCCTGTGTGAATTTAGACTATAAATTTAAAATGAATTTTACGCCAATATTAGCGTTACAAGTGGACAAACCTATACTTCAGAGAGCTACACTCAACTCGTCTTAACTATTTAAATGTTAGATTTTTTAATCTGGACCGCTTAAATGTTGCCTTTAAGTAACTAAAGTAGGTCAAGTCTTTAAATTGCAGAATCACGGTGACCAAGAGTTAACAGTGCAAATCGGCCCGGTCGTGTTTTTTTAAACTCTTTAGTCGTGTTTTTTTGAAAATTTGAGAGGTAGGTTGATAAATTTGGTCATGAAATTGCTGTCACTTGACTTTATGTAAAAGTAAGTAATTTATATTGCTTTCCATACTATATATCTTAACTTCAGGTATTCGTAAACGTGTTATTTGCACGAATCGTATGCTATAGTCTTGTTATATCGGGAAATGAGCAATTCTGTCAGTGTTATACATATTTTTGCCTGAAAATCACTTGCCTGACTTGTATTCAATGAATACATCGATTCATAAGGAAAGCATTCACAATATGTGCGAAAATCAAAAGTTAGAAGAGCTTAAATAAGTAGCAATTGACCGAATAATATTTTTTAGATTAAACTCTTTAGACGTGTTGAAAAGATTGCGGTTAATGACGTTGACCTGTTAGTGAAACGTTCTAGACGTGTAGGGACATCGAGGTTTAACGATTTGGAAGTGGGAAACAGCACAATTAACATTATGTATTTCCCCAAAAAATGATCACAATGTGGAAGAAGTTGTTGTCTGAGTGACACTATCTTAATTATAAATGATTAACAATAATCAAATGTACGACATAATATGTCAAGATTAATCTATGGGATCACTACCGAATTTGATACTTAAATCAAAATGGTTAGAATCAGACACGCATGGTTATTGCAAGCGAGCTTTGCCTTGTCGCTCGTCATTTTGAAAATTTTACCAGTCATATTATTTTTTAATTGCCCTGTCGCTCATTAAATGGCTCGTTGCTATTTTTGAATTTGCCTCAAATACGTTTTAAAACGTCCCTATTGGCCTTAAACTCACCTTTCCCTGTCATGAACGTAAATAAATTTATTTAAAATGAGAGGAAATGTTTAGTTTGTGATGCATTACATGTTAATGCATATACAAGTTTATGTGATCACCAATGTAAGGAATAACTCCACCGTTATTAAAATCGTATGCTCAATATCTATTAGGTTTGCCTCAGGATTTTTAACAATTTGATTCGATGTTATTCCCTAATTCGCCTCACACAATGCAATACAATTTCAATTTTAATTTTCAAATTGCAATAGGTAAAAACGCTACATATGCTGCTATCGTTCTATGAGTGATCTATGAACTGTACTGTAACATAGTTTTCTAGCGAATTAAATTACAACATCTGTTGATCTTGTTAAATCATATATCTGTCTTTTTTATTTATTCTTATTTATTCATATCTTGACTACAGATTACAATAAACGGGTGACACATAATGTATATTCCCGTGTTTTATACTAAACCATGAACAGATGGTGGGGATCTGCTTGTGTAATAATGCATACTATTTGTTTCTGGTTAATAGTGTGTGTCGCACTAGGCCCGCAAATTATTATAAAACCAACATAAACTATAAATTATATTATTGATTAAGAAGATACTTTTTGAGTTTTAACTTCTAGCAGAAATACGAGATAGTAAGAATTTAGTTTTTCAATTTATTTTAGTACTAGATCGTGGATAGGGATGTCAATTCTGAACAGATCAGTCGGATGAACCTTGTCATAATGTTCAAGGAAAGTGTTCTTATGAGCGCTTTTGAAAGAGCACTCGTGGCTCTGCACTTATTCCGAGGAACTGAAATTACAAAATATGTGAATAGTCATGAAGTACAAACACTTATCTTCAAAGTACTAATACGATTATTTTCAGAAGCACAGACAAATTATTAAGCAAAAAAACATGGTCAATGTGAACAATATTACAAGACAATTCAAAGTCGTTAATTTTATCACGTCTAAAACGTTATCTTTACAATTCCAAAACGTTAACATGCTTATTATAAGACACGTCCATGACGTTATATTGTCCCTTCTCCATAGTTAACTCCACTTTCTACATTTACGGTCATTTATCGCAATTTTAAGATAAATACAGTTAAAATATTTACACGATCTTTAGAGTAGTGAATATTATTCCACGTTGTTGAATGGATTGTCTGTTTAAACTTGATTAAATAACACTAAATGCAAATTAAGTACATATTTCTGGCACTTTTGGTATATAATTGCGATTGATATGAAGTATGATGGATTTATCCCCAAAATAGATTCGTAGGTATGAAGAAGAACATCTTAGGTAGAAGTCAAGATATGTAAGTTTGTAAAATATAGAATATTCTTACCATTTTGCTCCATTCTATCGAATGTCGCATCCCATGTTCTTACAAAACACGACTAAAGAGTTTAAAAAAACACGACCGGGCCGATTTGCACTGTTAACTCTTGGTCACCGTGAGAATATCGTTATTGAAGATGAGGATTACAGACACGGCTCCTTTTAACATGTAAAATGTACAGTAATCCGTATGCCTCTGTCACAGGCCAAATGGGTTCAGATCAGTAGGTGTTCACATTCCAAGGCGCTATAAATATGCAAGTCAATGAGAGATTACAAATGAGACTGAGAAAATTGTTAGCATTGATAGATGTTCGGATTAGAGAGGCGTTCGGATATACAGATTTCAGTGTACGAGTTATTTACATTTTTTAAAAGTTGAAAGAAATGGTTAAAAAACTGACCAGGGAATTTGTTTTCAATCGAATGCTCACATGCAAGGTTCTTGTGTGTACTCACTATTCAGCAAAAGTTTATATTATTTTAAGCTAGGTGCGATTTGTATTGTAATTTTACCAATTTTTACCGTAGCATGACTACATATTCTATGCATGCGTTTGAGAGGGTAGACGTATCAAATTTGAAATTGAATGAAACGAATATAAGTGCAATTTTAGCTTCATAGGAAAATCAAATCAATATTTTCATATGCGTTTGATTAAATGAACCTTTCAACGAGTTAAATGAAACTTTCAATGAAATAAAAGTCCACATTTTCAAATTGTCATGAAAGTGAGTTTAGATATGTTGAATATTGTTTAAAATAAATAAACGAATTTTCAAATGGAGCAATGTAAGGGATGTAGGGTATAAGTAGGTGGCAGATTAACGGCGCATATAACCGATTTTTACAACGCTTGTCAAGTTTTCCCTGAGAGAAAGTATTGCTTCAAATTTCTTGATATTTTGATAATCATAGTCTGCAGTAAGACTTTAACTTTATCAATATGTCGTGGTGTAATAGGACATCAAAATAGAATATGTTTCTTTTTAAAATTGCTCAAGCTTTGCATAATAGAAATTGAGTATTTAGCAGTGCTGTTAATCAAACCTCCTTATCCTGTGACTTTCTTCACAATTTAAAGGTATGTTCAACGATGAATCAACCTTTTTAAAAGTGTCGTGATTTAGGACACTATGATTCACCATGATGCACCATAAATGTTTATATAAGAAAGCCTGTAGTGTCATTCATAGAAACCCTCTTTTCAATGGTGTCTCGATTAAATCCTCACAAATCCTGATAACTAAATAGACCTGCATTAATGATTCACATATGAATACTTTGTGAAGTTTTTTAAGTTAAGTCCACCCAGTGAATAATACTCAGTTCCCATAGAGTAAGCCCGTGTTTAAACTTTCTGCTTGTTTTTTTATTCCTCCATTTCAAACTCAATTTCCCAGCGATTTCTGATTTTCCCGCATTTCAACACACCAAAATATTACATTTATGCCTTTTTGTTTTAACAAGTGCATGATCTTGGTTTTGGAGGGAATCACTCGTTTACAAATATTTACTTAGTGAGACTTTATTCACAGGCAGACTTTGAAAAGTCTAAACAACTTTATTAGGACCTTATTTGTAAAGAATATTTTGTTTGATAAAAAGGATCAGCCAAACTTGTAGTATTTGAGTTCCCACATTTTCAAAACGGGCAGAAGATCTCAGTCAGTACAGCCATAGATATCAGAAAATATAACGATGGTCGTGTTGAAAATGGAGACATAAACTAAAAGGTAAAAAAACAGGACAATAGGAGAAATGACAGGCATGTACCTAAACTTAAAATTGAATCATAATGCCTTGAAATTCATAAAGTTCACAAAGGAGATTGGCTTGAAATTGGAAAAATATGAAACAACCGGGACACTTTATGTATGGGAATATATCATGAGCTGTTTTTAAATATGCCATAAAGCAAGATATGTCTCTCAAAATAGTTTTCACATTTTATTCAAAATATGCAGGGGTTCGTGAAAAAATGAAAAAATGTGTATATTACTAGCAGATCACTTTATTAATGCATATTTGAATGTTTACGAACATTATGGATGTATGATAAAAGGTAAGTCATGTTTTTTAATATGCAATACAGCACTCGGATATATGAATACATCTTTTAAGGAATTGAATGAATAAGCACAGCGATTCAGTCATTTGAAGTTTATCAAATGCGGGTAATACGTTAAGGTCATCTTGAAGAAAGTGGTCATATAGCATATAAAGCTGCCAAGAAATCGTGCAAATATGTTATAAACATATTTTGAACGTTGGCTTATGAGTTTTTGATTAGACTTTCAAGTGTACAAGTATACATACTACATTTGATAGTGTTTATTAATTTATCTTGGCATTCGCTCATATAGTTCACGCGAGGCCTTGTGGTTTAAATATTAAGTCCAAATTAAAATCCAGAAGCATCTGATATGACTTTAGATGAGGTCAAACTTGTTCATGTTATGACATGCAAATCGGAACGGGAAGGAGATAACTCAGCGAGAGATAAAGTACACAGGTATGACAGAATATTAAAACTTCAAAGAGGAATTGTGAGAAATAAACAAATGTATTTGGGTTTACATGGGAACATCGGCTCTTTGGTACAAAAAATTAAAAGACTTATCATTGAATTTGAATTTGTTATTGAAATGGAAAGTCCTCGATCGTCAGTTGAATATGATACAGAGCGAATAGGAAGACATGATAAAGAATTCCTGATGGTATCTGAGTACTTTAATAATTACTCATGAATTACTGGATTAATTGTTAACCAATATAATCAGTCAACCTTAAATAATCTAAATATTAAGAATTATTTAATAATACGTAAATGTGCAATAAAAGTAGATAAATAACGCATTTCTCCTGTATTGGGTATAATAGATGCATAAAATGACTCTCAAATCCAAATATAATGGTATTCACCTCGTATGTTTTAAAATCTATTCAACGAGATATTTTCATTCATGAAAACCCCATAAAACACCTTTATATTCCAGTTGAACTGTAAAATGTGTAATGTTGTCATAAAATTGAAACGACGGATACATCATTTATCAAACATAATACATGTACACATTACTTTAATCTACAAACTACGAGTATAATTAATGCAAGTATGTTATTCTTTATGAAAATCTACTCTAAAATATAGTTTTATAGTTGACCTAGTCCAATAATATGTTTGCTATTATTACTTTTTGAAGCTATTCATTTAGTTTAGAAAGTTTATCGATATCATATGAGTGACCATTGACTGCAGTCCATTGTATCAAACATTTGGGTTCATTTGAGTAGACAGTGCTAGAACGGACAGCTGATTCAACCTTTGAGTGTGAGGAATTCAGTTCTCAGATGAATGATTCTGTCATTTTCAAGACAAATATCTTGATATTTAAGAAAAATGTTGACATGCATTTCACATATCTACTACTTTGTTTAAGTTATTTCTTTATTTAAAAGACCAGACCCGGTTAGATTTCATTTCAATCAGCTTGCCGTAATGCCGTGTTGTTAAATGTAGGTCGAGATGTTGTAAAACACAAATCTACGCAGTTTAATATCTCTTTAAAATGTGTACATTTTTGTACAATTCAAAATTTACCTCATGCCTCACCATTCATCTTCTGCCTTTTCTATTGCATTATCTCTTATTTCAAACTATTCCATTTGTACCGTGATATTTGTATGTTTATGGAGTTTACAGATATTACCGGAAATATCGCTCAACGGGGAAACTCAAGTTTTATCTTCGAGTTACTAGTTGGTATTTAAGTTACGCTGACCTTTAAAAGTAAAACATATCCTGTGCAAAAAAAATCCGTCCATATTTGTTTGTCTAGAATACTTCTCTAATGTTGAATTGATATTATATGTAAGATTTGGTATTAGTATTGGTTTTCGGTATTCCGGTATTGCTTTTTCAATTTAGAGCGTTAGTTGCATGTCTGCTATCATTTGCTACTTATATATTTATATTCTTTTTTAATGTAACAGAAGTGAGATTCCTGTTTTTGCTTCAGTTTATTGTTGGACTTTAAACTAACTCTCTTTTATTACAGTGCACCAAACTGAACAAGCTTCTTCCAAAAAGTAAACTTAGACTTAGAAACTTGTAGAAGTCGCATAGAAATACATGACGGAGAACCCGGAAGGAAGTAGTTCCGTTTTAAATCAACGTGTAATTTGATTATATTACACAAGGAATATTAGGGGAAAACAAGAAATAAATGGTTGATGTCTTAGTTATTTTATTAAAGCATGAAATAATCCATTACAAGTATTACAAAGAAAGATAAGGTCATAGCACCCTGAACATGGAACAATTAATGCAAGTAATACTAAAGTAAATTTAGGAGATACCCTGGGAAAAAATGACAGTTGAGTGATTATCGGGAAAAAAAACTTACAACAAAATTACCGCAAAAAACATCCATCATGTAATTATCTAGTTCAATGTCAATGCCAACGCGATTTACATGCCTTCGATTCATAAATCTGAGTTCAAATGTGCTGATACATGATCCCACGTAAGTCGCTAATAGGGATATCATAAAATATAGGAAGTAGATTAATCATAAATAAAATTCGTATATAAATCCCGTTTATGATGGAGGCTATAGCAGACAAAGATAACAGAGGAGAGTATATAAATGGAATAGAATACGAACATTTAATTCCATACATTGGTCACATTCCAAAACATAAACTCACAGAGGAGAAAAGGAACTTAAAAGTTAAACAAGTTGATGAGATTTTGAATCTAGGATTGAAAATGTTGTTTTTTAGTTTTGTAATCGTGGTTCTAGTGCGGTTGGGGCAATCTCGGTTTGCTGATCAGAAAGAAGAAGGAATCTCAAATGCCGTAGTAATAGTTGTGCATAACACTCCGGATTCAACATTGAAAAACATAGAAATAGATATACCTCAAAATCCAAAATACCCATCACCTCTAAATCGATACACAAAAATTAAGGATAGAACTACCGATTTAGAATGGATGAAAAGTCAGTTTGAAAAATCCTCAATTGTGTATATGGCAGAAAGTGATGACCAAGGCGCTGGAAGAGAGAAAAGATCGCTTGTACCACATGACACTGTTGTTACTGAAGAGGAGATTAAAATAATCTTAGACACACATAATACAGCAAGACGGAAGGAGGGCTCCTCCAATATGGAATACTTGGTAAGTGGAAGTCTTTTAATATTTTTTCACGAAAACTCTTGATCCATTAAAGCGTTAATGGCAGGCATTATACATCCTTAAATAACCCTAAAACCTTCTAATTCATAATGACATGTTACTTACAAAACAATTTGATCGATAGATCTCTTCTAAAATTTCAAAGCTTGCAAAATAGTCCTCACGTAGTAAGCAATCTAAACCAGGCATCAACATGTAGAATGTCACAACCTGCCGTTTGTTATAGACGCCGAACACAAACCGCCGAACGCCGAAACAAACCAGTGACCACCATCTACAAAAGGACTCACAATATGTCTCCACTTCTGGTAGTGTCAAAGATAAAAACTAGTCTCACCTCTTTCAATTTTAAAAAATAAAAGATTAAAAAATACTATAATTCAAGATGAGAAAATTTATTCGGCCTTTGATTAAATAGATAAAAAATAAAAATTAGTATGATCAATTTTCCTTTTGTACCTTTTTTAAATTTTGGTTCAACGCAACGTTTGATGTCAAATCTGTATTGATTTTCTGACATTCGGTGCATTGTTTAAAACCTGATATTCATGATAATTGATAAAACGATTTTAGTGCTTTGAGGGTTCATTTTCTCAATGCTTCTCATTTTCAATGTCAGGTTTAGGTTTTTTAACACGCATGTTTGAATGCATTTCACATTGGGGATGAATATATTTCAGTGATTTCAAGCTAGGATGTTCCACCATGTTGGGATAAGATCGAAAAATATGCCAACCTGTTTAAATTGCTTTGCATCGTATCAACAAGGGGGATTCTTTGGATATTTTGATCATTAAAGCAAGGGTTTCAACTCAAACAAAGCTAGGGTCAGTCCTAGAGCCTGCATTTCTCACCTCAAAATTTGGATCGCGACTTTTGCTCCTTGACAGAAAAGCCATAAAAGTAAAACTAGGAATTTTGCACCCTGGTGAGGAAGTCCAGAGAGACCACGGCATTCGGTTATAAAGTTTTTAAATGTAAACGACTACAAGTACGAGTTTATGCAAGGTGTTCATTTTAGTTCCTAGTCCACGTCTGTATTCGAGATCTCAAAAGCAAGCGCCCAATGAGCACATTTGAAGTCATTCGCGACCGAACCAATTTGCGAACGTTCTGGGTATTACGTTCGCCCTCGATAGTCTCTGCTTTAGGGCAGTGTTACGAGTATGTTCTGATAAATAGTTTCGTACTCAACATATTTTATCACTGCAATATACTATTTGATATGCCAATATTTTTATTTTATCAATATCGATCAAGTTTGTGTAAACATAATCTACTCAAACTTGAGGTAAGCACTTTTAAAATACTATTTACCTGTTATCATTTGTCATTCAGGTAAGATATTTTACGATTGTACCCACGAGTATAATGTTACAAAAAAGGCTCGGGTTTTTACAGAACAACTACAGTATGGCCCCTTTTAAAAAAGCTATAAAGCTAAAATTAAGTAAAACGATAGAATAAGTTGAATATACAGGGTGGTCCAAAAAAAGTGAACCCCTGCAACAGGCTACAATTTTCTTAATACATGCATGAATTGGCTCATAGTATCACATGTTGTAGAGAAAGGTCTAAAATTGTGGTTGATGTCATAATTTATTCTCAGTCTTAAATTTTGAAAAAATTACAAGCGTTTAACAAACATGCCTGGAAATTAGATATTGTACAAAATGTGATTCACGGAAATTGTTGAAACACATCGGATGATGTTAAACAGCTTTTAGTTAGAGATACAAGTTTAAAACCCTACCATATGACAAAAGGGACACTATTCAAGCTGAAAACACATTTCACACTTTTATTGATCATTTTGAAGCATTTTTAACTATTCAACAGTTCAGGGGTATGTTACCTACACCAACATTTAGAGGGGGGCCTCTTATGGAAGGAAGTTGCCCCCTGTGACCAGGAATCTGATAACCCCTTCATCAAATATCTTTAAAAAATCAAAAGCAAATCCAATATTCAATGTTTTGAGCCATATATCATTAGAATTGGTCCATGATTTTTGAAGATATTGACATTTCAAGATCATATAGGGGTATGTTCATGATTTCACTGGAAAATGTTTTCGTCTGTGGAAGCTTATCACATCTCTTTGGATCACAATAACTTTGCAACTAACAAATGCAGGATGCTAGTTTTAAGCCATAATGTGCAAGATTTAAAATTGAACAAAGTCAGAAAATATTAGTTCTTTAAGACTGCAGCTTAAACAATTCTCAGGGGAAAGGTGTTAAAGGGTTAAAGAATCGCGGTATTGAAAATCACAATTTGTCCATTTTCAGTAATGTTTGGTTAGGACTTTTATGATTTCTGCAAATTTCAAGACTAAGAAAAATGTATGGTACCAACATAAATTTTAGACCTTCCTCTACAGCATGTGAAAATAAAAAATAATTCCTGCAAGTAATGAAGGAAATATGGCCAGTTGCAGCGTTCGCTTTTTTGGACCACCCTGTATTTAAAAGAAATTTCGTTATTTCTCTAAATCGTTTAAAGTACAATAAGACGGTAGTTGTTCATAGAAAGGCTTAGTTGCTACTCAATTCTATTACAGTGGCGGATATGAGCCGGTGCTGTTTTTTTGATGACCCTAAATATCGGGGCTTTATAAATGTTTGACAATTTTGGTTAAAATTTGGCCTTACTATGCAATATTTATTTCATTTTTTGCCTTTTTTAGGAAAATTGGCCCATATTCTCAAATTCTTGCCCATCATTTTTTGGTGGACATTTTTGCACCTAGCCCCAATCTTAATTCTCAGGTCAACTCTTGTAATAATGTTAGATGAATTCAGACATGTCGATTCTCATATGATTCTCAAAAATAATTGAAGGACATTTAATTTAATCGCGCTTATTGTACAGCTTAGCATTTTTATAATGACATAATTATAATGACAGGAAAATCTCGAAATACAAAATTACATAACTGAAATGGAATCCGAAAAGAATGAAGTAAACAGGTTCGGTAAATTCCAAGATAAATCCTATAATTCAACAGAAAATTGCGAAAATACGACCACAATTCAACATTACCTATAATTAACATTCCAGTGTGAATCTAACGAATTTAAACGGTCAATAATAATACAACATTTATGAAGAAATTGCTGAATGCTCGTAATGGAATTCAACTCTTGTTTTCAAAAGGAACGATAATGTGCCAAAATGGTAAAATTTAATCAAGGACGGAAAAATATTTCAAATGTGACACTAATGGCGTATAATGTAATATGTCTAACGTGGGCCGCACAGAGTGTTGGCAGCCATTATTCAAACTTGATCTTCGGTTGTCTGGCATGGAATAACTTGGTTACAATTTTTCTAGATCCTAAATGTTGAAAACTAGCACTGTCAGTGAAATTTGGATTTCATCATAATGCTTGTCCACTATATATAGTCTGACTGGATCTTGATTCCAAGATGGATTTCATAGGAATATTATTCCCAAATTGTCCAATGCCAGGCAGCAGAAGATCGAGTTTGAATAATGGCTGCCAATCCTCATTGCGTGTGACATAAGTATTTGTTAAAACGTATCCTGCCAAATGCCAACATTTCTGTAACGCTTTGGAAAGAGTTAGTGAAGTGTATAATGCTTCTTTGAAACAGGTGTGAACAAAATATATGAAATATGAGTAGATGTTGATGAGCAAAATTAGTTTCAGATTTGAGATTCAATTTGTAACTACAAAATGTAAATTCTTAAAACTTACCACTTCTTACTCTCTGCAAACCACTAATCTAAAAAATGCGTAGCTACATTATAGTATAATTTATATAGTATTTAATATAATACAATATAATATAATATTTTATAATATAATTTAATTATGTAGTTTTGCCTTAAGAACTGTAAATATTTTTAGATCAGTTCTAAATATTAGTTCAATATTTACAAAAATTGATAATTGATGCAGAGACTTATCATATGTCTCTGATTGATGCGTTAGGTTTAAGAATTACTATGTATTATTCGCAAATACACATTACACAGCTAGATAATAGACAATATTATGATAAAAGAATTACATACCATTAGCAGAAGATGAAAATATATTAACAGCACAAACATCTTCAAGGTTTTGTGGTGTGCTGTGGCTTCGGTGATTTGTGGTTTATTGTCAAAGTTTTCAGTCATAACATCATTGATTTAGAACATTGTCGAGAGTAGTAGTTGATTATGTAGAAGCCCGCCTGGTTGGATATAGGGTATAGTTTCATTCAGAAAAATAGCTCGATAACTTTTTAACATGCAAATCAGATGGCAATTAACCATCAGCTATACGGCAAATGCAGGAAAGGGGAATACACACTATTATATTTAAAAGCAATTATTTTGGAGAAACAATAGGCGGGATTGGCGTCACAGTTTCCGGAACGGTTATCTTGAACAATTCTATATACAAGTACATATACTTAATATACTTTCAAGTTAATTGACTTTATTGTCTTGAAAGAGCTCTATCATCGACCATTAAAGGGTGACGCATATCGTTTAGCAAATCGAACGCTCGTTTCTGGTGTTGCTCACCGTTTAGTATAAAAGGCCCGATCCCGGAATAATACTCAAGGGTTCACAGGTTCGAGGCCGTTGTGTCAACACCTCTAACTGTTATATAGCATAAGTATATTATAGATCGTCACACATTTATAAAAGGGTGATTTTTATTTTGACAAATCAATTCCACATTTATGGGTGAAATTTCAGGATCTTCTATTTGTGTATAATAAGGAAAAATTGGCATCTAAATTTCCCCATAACGTAATAGCACATAGCTTGGTATATGAAATATCCTACAAATGAAACAAAACAGTTCTAATACAAGGATTTATATTGGCTGTTGTACATGCATATGTATTCTTTGAACGCAATCACTCTTTGGATAACGTTTTCAAAATCATTATAAACAGATTACTTTATCTCAAAGACAATTTCAATAAACTGGATTTTACAGAACTCCCCTTATTTC